ATATGAAGCCCCCCAGTTGTGGCTCATGCTTTTCCACCCTGTCTTGCTTCCCTTTACCCACATTTGTGTGATATCTCCGCCCCCAGCAACATTCATCACGTACACGAGCAGCCAATAGCCATTTCCTTGGAAGGTGAATCGAAGGCCGCCTTTCCTTACACATGGCACTCTACAACAAGATTTTGAAGTGGGGAACGTGGGGAACGTATTGTTAGAGATAACGTAGCTTGTGTATACAAGTGTTATACGATCTTGGTAGAAAATATAAAAAGATGAAGTGGTGCATCGAAATTAATATGACTTATTGTTGTGAAAGATTTAGTAGCATTTGGCGTTCTGATTTGAACAGAATAGAGAGGATTCTGGTAGCCAATCTCAAATTTATTGAGAATAAATCTTAATTTATTGTTAGTTTCAGGCAAGATATTGTCTCTATGTCATTCCAATAGCATATTACCTTTTTGCAATTTGACATTTTTTTTATTGTTGTAGCGGTTAATTATAGTTTAAGAATTATGTGATTTTCTAAGGATGTAAATGGGCAATCATAAGATATCACTCTAAAGAATTCTAATCATAATTTGATGAAAAAGTAAAATTATACCTGCGGAACATGACAGGTACAATACCAGCCTTCCACTGTGCAATTTTCATGAATGCAGGCTTAGACATGTCGAAATGTGTCCGAGGTGGGTTGCACCAGCCACCGTTGTTCGAGTCCTTAGCCCAGTTGGGAGGGCAGAGGTTTGTGGCGGTGATGGTGGTGATTGGCGAGCCTCTGTAGCACAATTGCGACTTAACGCACCGTATTTGGAAGCATTGGCCGCATCTGTAACCATTGTTGAATAGTACAGAGCTCAACGCGGCTGTTGCGGTACCGTAACCACTGCTGAACAAATTTCCATACCCACATGCTCCTCCTGTGGACGCCAAAGTAATGGACTATATTACACTTTTGCATATTAGACTAGGAGACTAATAAGCCCTCGTTTGGCACCCATTAANGCCCCCGTTTGGCACCCATTAATTTCTCATTCTCATTTCCATTCTCATTCTCATTCTTCATTTCAACCACACATTCTCCAAATAAAATAATATTACACACAAATCAAAAACTTTTCATCACTTTTTCACCACACATTCTCACATCAATCACTATTCCAAAATTTCTATTCTCCTCAAAATTAGATTCAAACACACCCTAAATCTTTGTCGTTCCGCCTAGGCCTAAACAGCCGTGCCCGCCAGAAGTCCGGTCAAGGGATGGCAAGGTTCGACGCATGAGACAGTCTGCTTCTAGAGCCAAGCCTACACGACTTTAGCTATAGGGGGCCGTAGCCAGTACATGAAAGCCTATATTTAGAAGGGAAAGAAAAAGGACACGGCCCTTTGGCCTCTAGACCAATAAAACAGATAGTGTATGTCACAAAACAGTATCACACTAGCACCTAATAAGTTCGAAAAACAATTTGTCACGTACCCATTGTCTCGGCAGCAGTTTCATCGCCATAAAACGTGGCATAGGCTTGTTTCCATGCTGTAGGACGAAATACGGGTGCATAATATGCTGCGGTTGCGTTGCCTACTACTGCCATTACCAAGAAGAAGCTGAAGCACCATGAATGAAGATCTGCCATGGTTGTTGGCCTAAACTATGCTCAAAGTTGTAAATTACTGTACAAAGAGAATTGCCTAATTGACTTCAAAGTTATGGCCTTTATATAGTTTAAGGCTTTAGAATAATTGATAGTGTCTACGTGACCCTCACGAACTTATGGCATCTCAAGTCAAGAGAGGAGTTTTTAAATTATAAGAAATGGTTACCATATTTGTATAGCCCCTGTTTGGCACCCATTCT